CAGAACCATTTCCCATTTTCCTCTTCCATTAGGAGTTGTTAGACAGGTGGTCCTAGTAATAAATGCATCATTCTTGTGACCAAAAACCTGAAAATCGTGAGGAATTATAAATCACAAGATTACAGCACATGTCCCAAGGAGAGGGCCACCATGAGGGCTCTTGGAGTTGACAAGTATTCATTTTACACAACAGCCTCCCATTCTTTTTAGCAGCAGTTTCTCTTGTAAAGTGATTGTACACAAACATCACAGAGGTGAGACTCAGGATAAAGTGGATTAAAATAATTGAGGGATCCACGGTTGTAAAATCATTTTTATATATGTTCATTACATATTGACAACAGATTAAAATGGACTCCTTGAAATGACTATGACCGTAGCATTCTAAGCATGGGCATTTGAAATGCTTCATTTTTAGGGAATTATTACATTTAGAGAGTATTACATTTTTAGGGTAAGACATCAAATATGTCTCTGCTCAGCCATTTGACTTGGTTTTCTGTGTGTTGCTAGAATTCATTAAATTTCTTTATTTATTAAACTATTATTTCATTAGTACCTAGTTCCTAGATTTCCTCTGTAAATTCTATGCTTGAGGTGAGCTCTAAGAATAAAATAAAATGTCTGCCTTGAGGATTTCTCTATTTAATAGTGACACAAGAACAGGCACATGAATAAATCATTACGATTTTTTAATAGAGACCACTTTAAGCTAAATCAAGACAGGCTTGTGTCATGCTAGGTATTAATCTTGGGCCTGGCATTTATTTCTATGTGACCCTAGGCAAGTAATTAAAACTTGCTGTGCCTCTGAAGTACCCTCCACAGAGTAGGCAAAGGGTATTTTCCATTGATGTTAGTCTTGGTCACTCATCCTGCTTTGGGTAAAGGACTCTTAGGAGACACCATATGAGCAGAGGCTTTAAATGAGCTGTGTGCTTGGCTTGGCCTCTCACTCTTTCGCCATCTGTCCTGAGGAGAACACGTGTCAGGTGGCTGCAGATCCAAGGTGAATGAACAAACAGGTAGAATAGATCTGAACCCAACATGCAGCCCAGAGCCAAGCTCAGCAGAGCATCAGGCGATATGCAGATTTTTTGGACAATAAAATATATGCTTGTGCTATAAGCCACTGAGATCTTATGGTTGGTTGTTACCCATCAAAAGGTGATAAATACATTATGTATCAGTATAAGAAAAAGGTGTTTTCAAATGCATAGAGGGGATTGGTTTTCAAATGCATAGAGGGAATTGGTTCTCTTTTTTTCTCCATTAGCTTTCTGACGCTTACATGTTTAGAAAGTGACATTTTTACAGCCTTTAGTTAATATCAGCGTGAGATCTTACTTGTGCTGTCTGAAATGCCTAAAATATGAAATTCAGTATGCTCAAAGCAGACAGTTAACTAGCACCCCCAAAATTGTCAAAGCTAATTTAGCAGAGAAGATTTCAAAGAAACTTTTGAAAATCTAGAACTGGATCATCAAAATCTTAAAAATAAATTTGATTCCAGTTTGGAAACGATGTTTAACACTTTGGAGATGAAGATCTTTATGTGAGCATGGGTGCTATATTAATAAATTGCCTCTAGGAAGCTTTCCTTGCTTATTTGGAATGTTTTAATAAAATCAAGAAGAAATAGATGAAGTACTTGTCCTGATTACTGGAGAAGGATATCTACCTGGACACAGCGATCTTTGTTCGTTTAAAAATTTTAAACTATGCAATCCAATATGCCTGAAAGGTCCTTGGCATGTGCCAATCAAAACCCAAGAAAATTGTGTCATTATCCCTCAGTTTCACTCTCTCCCTCCTCATGTTATCCATGCACATAATAAAACATTAGGAGAATTTTTAAAAAGCAGAGAGAGAGAGAGATGAAACATCCCAGAAGGTCAGAAATCAATGATCCTTTTATAGATGGGCCTCCTGGGAAACCCATATACTTTGCTTTTAGCCAGGGTCTCAGACTGCTTCTTAAATACTTGGGTTTTGATGATATAAATCAATAGTTTCTTTAACGGAGGTCCTCCAGGGACCAAAGGATGCTAACTTTGAAATATCAAATAATCTCTGCCAGCACAGGAAAGGCTTCTAAGCACATTCTGTGGTTATGCATTGCTATTTAACAGGCAAGAATTAAATTTCAAGAAGAATATTTTCACTTTAAGACACACTGCCTTATTTGGGTTGGCAAGGAGGTGCAAAACAGGAGTTCTTACATGCCGCTGGTGCAAGGAAACCTTGCTAAATCCTTTCTTAGCATAAAATGTGAAAATTCAAATCACGCATGAAGAGAAAAACTGCATACACTTTGACCATTGGCTTTTATCCCAAGCGAATAGTCTTCGGTGTTGTGAAGGATGTAACTTTATGAGTCCCGACGGCAATATCATTTATTTGGAAATAGCTAAAAGTCCCACTATGGTGTATGGGGTAAATTCTCTGTATAAATTCATAAATCAGAACACCGTCCTCCAGATGATTTTTGCAGAAATGATTTAGTGATACTGAATGGCATTTAAGCTATAAAGAAGCAGCAAGCTACAAAATGTGTTACCAAATATGCATGCAACAATCCCATTTTTAAGAAGTTTAATTAGACACGAAAAGGGTTAGTAAGATAGAAAAAATACTAACAGAGGTTATCTCTGGGTGTGGGATTATGAACGATTTTCATTTCCTGCTTTGTGCCCTTATTTTGTTTCTCATCAAACGTGCTACAATGAATATGTATATCTGTAATTAGATAGTATAATAAGTGCTACTTTTAAAAAATGATCCCTAAAGAAAGGTTTCTAAACCTCAGCACTATTGACATTGGGGGCTGAATAATTCTTTTTTTTGAGGGCAGCCTGTGCACTGTAGGATGTCTAAGAGCATCACTGGCCTCTACTCACTACGGGTCAATAGACCACTGCCACAAACACACACACAGTTGTGACATCCAGAAATGTGGCCAAACATTGCCAAATGTCCACTGGGAGAGGGGGGCAAAGTCACGCCCAGTTGGGAAATCATTATCTTAAAGTACCTACATATGAATAAAATTCAAAAGTCATTAAAGGTAGAATCTAAAACAAAGAACCATTACTAATGATTGTATATTTCTGATGTTCTAGTCTGGCATAAAATAAAGGCAGGAGGTAAGGTAGGAAGTGAGGGGTGACATCAGTTTGTTAAATTCAGTCTCCATGATGATTTTGAGAAGGAGACAGTCCTCAACAGGCAGAAACCAGCCTTTGTGGCCTCAATTTTCTTCCCCCATATTAGCTCATTGTTGTACTCCAGAGAGACTGCATGATGTTGTGAGGTCTTTTGTAAATCAAAGATACTCCCATAGGGCAGCGGGGCATGAGGTTGTAGAGGACACAAGCACCTGAACAAAGGGCTCTTCTCCTTGGGTATTTGTTAATTACCTATAAAACATGGTTCCTGTGTCACAGGAAAATAAGGTTACTTGTCCAAGTTGCCATAGCTAGGTTTAAATTCTGATTCTTACTTAGGCTATTCAACCATATTAGACTACCTTCTCAATTTTCATCTCCTGACATGAAAAACACATGTATTAAATGGTGTGCTGCCCACCTCAGGGGGCGCTGAGTTGTACACAAGCATGTGCGTGGGACCCTTTCTGGCAAACTTCAAAACACTGAAGAAATTTAAGGAATTGTTATAAATACTGTTATTATTTTTACTCTGTGGTAGACACATTTCTACCTCTAACGCTAGGAAAATATGTAGAACTTCAATTTGATTGCATATACAGAATTAGGAAGTTGGATAAGAAAATGGTTTTTAATCCATGCCAGTCATTGTTCTGGGTAAATTCACTTGTTTTGTTTAAAGAAATTTAGCGTCAAATGTCCAAAATGAGCAAACTTTTCCCTAGTGGTATCTTTTGCAAATAAATTAAAATGTGGAAAGATATATGAACCTGGAAATTGAAAGACACACAAATTATACTAGTGAACAAATGGTAGTGTAGTGGGTGGGAGGCTGAAGTTTTTAAAATAGACACCGTTATGAGACACTTTCACTGTTACCTCGTTTCTGCTCTATAAATCTGCTAATATAATATATTTGGCCAATCAAGCTGGTGTTATAATGAGTAACCATCAGATTCAATTAGATCATAGTTATAATGTCACCTTGCATTTAAAGACTGTAATCAGTGCTTTATGCTCTTACAGTATTTTTTTATAAAATATTTGTTGACTTCCTGGCTATTCTTTTTTTTTAAGGTACACTTTTTGTGTGTGTGTGTGTGAGGAAGGTTGGCCCTGAGCTAAGATCTGTTGCCAATATTCCTCTTTTTTTTCCTCTCCCCAAAGCCCCCCAGTACATAGTTGTATATCCCAGTTGTAGGTCCTTCTAGTTCTTCTATGTAGGACATCACCTCAACATGGCTTGATGAGTGATGCGGAGTCCATGCCCATGATCCAAACCAGTGAACCCCCAGGCCACCCAACCGGAGCATGCAAACTTAACCACCTGGCCACAGGGCCAGCCCCACAGTATTTCTTCATCTTTAAACACTACTGGGAAGTACTCAAGGCAATTCGATTGCCAGCATTTCAGTGCTTATTCATGATGGACACACATCAGGGGAGCATACCTCTGACATTTACATCCTTCTGGAACCACACTTCCCTCTGCAATTGCCATTGGCTGGGCAAGGACCCTCAAACATGGGGATGCACTACCCCAGGACTTACAACTTATTTCTGTGGTGTTACAAATCTCCCAACACAGTGAGGTGCGTTCACATGGCTACATGTCTCTATCCATCTTGCTGGCATTGCCCTCACAGACTAGGAAGAAAATTTAAGCAAGTTTTCCAGATCTGGATAAATGAAGCAGAGTCTTCCTGGAGGGAGGCTCAGTGGTATGTCACAAAGGTATGACAACAGAAAGCTAGTACTAGGCTGGCTCTGGACTTCTTTTATTTCCTCCAGCAGACAATCCTAGCAGTCCTCTCCAGGCTTTCATGTGCCCTATTCACTGTGTCTGGAACCTCACCCAACCCCCACCTCCGCACCCCTTACCCACCTTCATCTAAACAATATCAGCTCGGCATCAAAGTTCTACTTTTGAGGCTTTCCTACACATTCTGCAGCTCAACTCCCAGCCCTGGGTTGGGTGTCCTAGCTCTGTACTCCAATGTCCTCTTTTTATGATATTTATAACCCTCTAGTGTAGTTGCTGGTAACTTGGTTTCCAGAACAAACTGAAGGAAGGAAAACTGTTTGTCTTGTTTTCCAATATTTTGCACAGTGTCTGGCAAAATGATAGATTGTGAGTATAGATGTATGGATGATTCCAATACACTCCTAATCCATTTCATTATCTGGCTTTCTACATTAGTTGAATTTTGCTGTTTAGAATAAAACCCCCAAGGCCTAGTGGTTTAAGACAACAATTATTCCCTTAGCTGGAGTTTCTGTGGATCTGCTGGGTGATCATTCTGGTCTGGACTGGTCTCCACAAATCCCTGCTGGGATCCCTGATGGGTCGGCAGCTGTCTAGAGGTGAGCCTGAGATTCTTCACAAGGTAGTTGCAGAGTTCCCAAGAGCCGCAGAGGAAGGAAGCCCCTGCTGTGGAAGTACTTCCCCAGTCTCTGTTTGCATGAGAGATGAACCATTGGCCACAGCAGCACACGTGACCCCAACAAATCCTTGTGAAAAAGGACCACCCGAAATGTGGCAACAGTGAGATGTGAAAAAATTAGGCATCAACACTGCAGCCTCCCCACACTTTTGTTTCTCAGTGAGTCCTGTAACTGATTATGTCTTCCTTTCTCCAGATAGCCGGGTGTCTGCCAACATGAGAACCTTCTTTTCTTTATCAATAAGAAAAACAACTATGGCTCATTAATACCAACAGTGATTTACTCTTGAGAGCAAGTAGTGGTGGGGAAGAGAAGAGGAAATAAGATTTTGAGGCTACTTGCTAAATACACTATGTGTTTTCTACTAAGCCATTCTGCAGGAACAGTAAGAACTCACTTTACAAGATTTTTAAATACAGTTGTTTGTACTATCAGAGCAAAATTATGTACGTTACTTGAAATATGGTGATTCACCCATTCTCTTTTACTTGCCCCAGACTCTTTCCTTAACCTCTGATTAAATAAACTTGTGACAGTAAAGTGTACACTTCCAGCAGTGGCTGCTCAGTCACAAATTCTCAATACAACTTTTTTGGTAAAGCTGATTAAAAATGAAAGTGTATTATTTTAACTGGCTCCCTCCTTTTCTCCACACATCCTAAATCCCTTTCATTATCCAGCTTTTCTTTCCCAAGAAATTACAGGGGATATTTACAGCCTTAAGTCTCTTTAGCCAACTTCAACTGACCATGTCAGCCTGTGTTCACAAGCTGATTTCAGAGAAGCCCCTGAAACATAGAAGGATGTGTTTACTAGAATGTGGTTCCCTGGGGAGGCACCAGGCACATCTGTAATTCTAAGGAGAGTGTAATGAGGAAAAACTAGTGGCATCCTGAATGGCTCACAGCTGTTCTGGAAGCTGATAAATAAGACGCTCGACAGGAGATCCCTAATTGGAGCCAGTTTTTCTTAAGTGGATACACAATACGATGCAAGACTGGGTGTTGAAACACTGATAGTGTTGTTCACATGTAACTTAGTTTGTCTTGTAAACAGCTCCAATTTCAAAGGTAGCGCCTTCTTTTTTCAAAAGGGAAAAAATGTTCACTTCATCAATTTTTTTCACACTAATTAGAGGCAAGCTAGCATTATTTTTCCTGGTGTTTTTCTCCACAAAAACTCTGTTAGTTTGGTCCCTTCCTTTCCTTCTTTCTCTCCTTCCTTCCTTTTCTCTCTTTCTCCTCCTCCTCTGTCTTCTTCTCTCCACTTTCTTCCCTGCTTCCTTCCTTCTTTCACTCCTTCCTATCTTCAGAGATCCCAGTTCTTCTTCTGTGCTGGCATCAAAAGCATTTTGAATTCACTATTCCCTTTCAGACCCTGGCCACCTAACTCTAGTGGTAGGACTTACTTGCTTGAAGATTGTGGCCTTGCGGCCCTTTTGAGAGAATGTCTGTAATATTTCAATTTTCATCAAAGAAATGGCTAAATAGCTTCTAATAAGAAGATAAGAGATTTCACATGCAGAGAAAGGCTTGAATGTATTTCTCTTGAAACTGTTTTTACAAAAGCTGCTGGGAGTAGCTTTCCTCTCCTAGGTCATATACCTCCTTTGCATTATAGGAGAAGGCATTGCCCTTCTGAGGGACTTACCAGCCCCTCCTGGACCACCCGCCGGGGACGTTGACATTAGCACCATTCTCCATCAGACAGCTGTTAGAGAACTGGCTTAGAGACAATTAATTTTTAAAAAAAGAAAAAGAAAAACAATAACATGACCAATACACTATATAAAACTCACTATGCTCACATCTCCTGATGTTTAAAGACCGAGAGAGGAGGGGAGAAAAAAATCCAGAACTTTTTCAACAAGATACACGCCTTCCTTCTACAAATGGAGGCTTTTACTAGTTCCCATTTAAATAAAATAAAAAAATTCCTCCCAACATAGGACATTTTTGCTTTTAGAAATATTAATTGCCACAGAAATATTTTTTGTCTTTCCCCATTTCCATTCTATCCAGAGCATTTCAACCCTTCGCTCCTGGTATGAAATGCAGTCTAAATTCCAGCATTCAAACTTCATGTGACAACATGCATAGCTTCAACCATCTCGGCCATATTGCCCTTCAATAAATACAGTGCACTAGAACAATGATATGTTCACACTTTCGCAGCCCTCCAGTGCTCCCAGATTGGGGTGGGGGTGGGCATTCCATTCTTCTATACATTTAGCTGTGTTCAGAATGTGGAGGCAGAGTGAGCATCCCCATGAGCAGATATAAATCTTGAACTAAATGGAGGTTCGTCAGAAGTAAGGATAGCATCCTTCTGGCACTGATCCCTCTTTCCTAAGTTCCCATGTGAAATACCATGTGGAAAAGCAGAGTAAAGTAAAACTAACTTCAAAACACCAATAGAGTCCACAGTGTCCGTCCATTCATCAATTGTCAAAGTATTGTTTGTGGTCTAGGCACTGCTAACTGCTACCGATACAGAGATGAGGAAGATACTGCCTTGCCTCAAGAGTTCCACGGTCCAGTGAGCTGTACCCTGGAAACTAAGGTCAGAAGAGAAAAGAAAATACCAGCAGGTGCAGTTAGATGGTCTTAATGGTCCCTCTGGGAGTAGCTCCTTCTGATTTGGGAGGTAAGTTCTTTTGTGAGCAGCCGTAAAGTTTAAGCAGGAAGCGCCTGCACCCCTGTCCATCATACCTCATCCCCAAGGAAACACATTAGACAGGGTTAATAATTTTAAATACTTATCCAGACTGGTGATGATTTTTCTCTCATGTGGCTTGGATCCATGGAAAAAATGTTTATACCCCCACAAGGTCTTGACAGAAAGAAAGAGAGTTCTGGATCCTGACGAGATGCTGATTTTGGCATGACCTTTTAGAAAAGATGCCATTTCCAAGGCTGGTGGTGGACTGAAGGACAGTAACCTCTAGTATTGAACTAGCTAGAACCAATCACCAACTTGCTGATACATGGAAGTCAAGACAGATTTAGACAAAATGTTCCTGAGGAAAAATAAAGTCATAGCCATGCCAGTCAAGGGCTCAAAGAAAAGCCAGAGAGGCAGGAATTGTGAAATTTCTCTCCTATATCAATCGTTAACCATAAATATAATACTCTCTTCTTTCTCTGAAGGCTAGAGAGTATAGAAAAAGATTTTCCTTGACTCATTCTTCTCAACTGAAAAAGAATCTATATAGTGGGATTTAGAAAGCTAAGCATCCTTTGACAGATTATTTTCAATGAAAACATTTCTTCACCTCTAAAATGAGAAAAAAAAATTCTAGATGCTTACCTCACAATGGCTGAGGCTCAAATAAAGTTGTCATCCTGATATATATTTGGCGGTTACTATGCATCAGGGGAACTATTTCTTTTAATACCATCAAGAGTTCTATGATATATACGTTGTTATTATCCCCATTTGTATATGAGGAAACTGAAGCTAATAGAGAGCTAATAAGTAACATGCATAAAGTTAACAGCTAATAAGTGACAATACAGATAATAGAATTCTACGCTTTGTGAAGTTGCATGAATTGGCTACACGAAGGCCACATTCTGCCTTAAATAAAACAATAAAGCAAATGTTGGTTCCACTTTAATTTTAACATTCTCTGATGAGTTAAAATTAAAACAGGAACACAAGGACATTTATTATTAATTGCACATTCATTCATTTTTCATTTGGGTAGACATCATCAAAAGCCAAGTGGTGACTTCCTTGCACACTCATTTTTATACTGTGTTTATAGCTCTTTTAATAATGCAAATATTTATTATGGGCATCCCTGGAGAATCAAAGGTGCTCAACGAAGGGATTTTTAAATATCACGATCCACTGCCGAGTAAAAACACCAGGATACTTCTACTGTTTAAAGGGTCAGAGCCACAGGGTCTGTCAAAAGGGTCACTCAGCACAAAAACAAGGCAGAAGGTTATCCAGTTTCTGGAATAAAGTAGCAGCAGGTGTAATCTTCACCAACAGAGAGAAAGGAGGCATGAGGAGAATTTCTCCAGGGTAAGCAAAACCCCATCACAGGCCAGAAATGGCACCAAAGACAGTATTACACAATGAACTTGAAGACTGTAAAAATTCAGCTTTCCAAGTATTATTTCCCATGCCAAAAGTTAATTCCATTCAATTTTAATAAATATTTCAGGGTTTAATATATATGAAACATCACAGTAAGTCCTGGGCACTTTAAAAGAAAGCAATAAATTTAGTCTTCCTTCAAAAATCTTAGTCTAGTGGTAGAAGTAGGCAAAATTGAGCTTATAGAAGGACTTGCGGACTCTGCTAAGGATTTGAGACTTCATCCTAAAAGAAATATTAGTTAAGCCACTGAAAGCCTTTTCTTTTTTTTTGTTCAAGAAAAGTATGTAATTGTCTAGTAGCAAAATGGAAAATGAAATGGAGCATGCCAGGCTAGAGATATGGAATCCCCTTATTGCAATGGTCTGACCAAAACCTCATGAGGACCACACTGCAGCAGGAGCCACAGGGACACAGTAGACACAATGGATTTGAGACACATTTGAGGTTAAAAGCAGCTAATTCATGATTATTTGATGTGAAATATCCAAAGAAAGAAACGCTTAGAATGACTATAAGCTTTCCGTTTCAGGCACCTTGGAAGATGATGTAGAAAAAAAAAATGGAGACAGAGAATGGAGGAGAAATAGTAAATTGTTGGCTAATGGGAAAGATGTTGAACTCCATGTTGGACTTGAGTTTTGATGTGCCTGGGGGCATCCAAAAGGAGATATTCCGCAGGTATCTGAGTATAACATAATATCTGTTAATATTTGAGTATAACAAGTTATGACTTGTTCCAAAAATCCATTCCTTTGATATTTTTTTCTAATGAATTGTTCTAACCCATATAAGCCTTATTAGCAGGAGACCCACATCCTACCTTTTGAATCCTCTAAGAAACTTGGGAACTTAGCCCAAGGGAAATCAGTCACAGTTCCACACAGCAAGCAAAGGGTATGGTCAGTTCACTACGCTGTTTCTCATGGCTGCGCGATATCCCTGGTCCCTCTTGGCCTGAGAGATGATGTTTTTCCACTGCCAGAAAAAGGTCTCTGAACAAGCCTGCAAGGTGAGGCCATTCCTCTTCCCCAAAGCTAATCTTGTCAAAGGGTGATACGTACTGGGACTTCCAAATGAAGACCTTCAGTGCACTCCAACATTCTCAACTTATTTCTCTCCGAGCCTAGTTGAGCCAGAGTGGCTCATCACATTAGCTTCATCTTGGGTCAAAGTGCCTTCCTCCAGGTCATCCAGGTCCTTCAGCTACTCCCGGTGATCCAGTGTATGTACTCCACCTTCTCCTGATGAGTTTCTCTCTTTCTCTGGCAATAATCTTGGTTGGGGCTATCCTGGTTAAGAGGAAAACAAGAGCCCATTGTGAAGCACAGAAAGAACATGGTAGGCTTTCAATCTTTTACTTCCCAAAAGTCAGTAAGACTTGGTTTCATAGCTTTTCATACTTGGGGTCACAGAGAGCAACATCCACGATCAAGTCAGAAAAGCTCCAGATCCAACTGCATTTCCATGGCAAGCGTTCCTTATATTATTACTTTTATCACTGAGAGAAAGTAGACTGATCCTCAACAGGAAAATAGCATAAGCTTCTACAACTGACATGGACCAGATGCTGCCTCAAGATGTTCTTCCTTTAATAACAGATTGGACACAGGAGAGTCCTATTCAGTAAGTTGCTTCTGGTTATTTGTTTATCCTCCCGTATTTCTGCCAATGGACTTGCTGGCTATGGAAGACTGTGGACTCCCATGTATAAGCCTGAACAGGACACTCACTCCTGCTGTTCCCTTGTGGCCCAGGCCCCCTGCACAACGCATATATTGAACAACTAGAGGAACAAGGCCTATCACTTAATGAGCAGCTCTAATGTTCCGGGCACTGTCCTCAGCAATCCAGAGCTGTTGATAAAAGGCTCCCAAGGGGCATGTGTGTGCATGTGGAAGCAGGCTGGGTTAAGAAGGAGGCACATCCTTTCTGAAAACTACCTGAATCTTGACAACGAAGGCAGCTCCATTCTATCTTTCAGGAAAACATCCTCATGGTATAGACAGTAGAGGGAGCAATTCTGCAAAAGAAAGGAGAATAAGGGTGTGATAAATGCAGAATGTGTCTATGGAGGATATTTCTTTGTGAGAGCTTTGGATTCTCAAACTACAGAGATAAAACACTGCAAAATAAAATCGCTAGAAGAAGGGGTTAGCATATGATGCATATTAACATTTGACGTTTTAAGATTGAGACCCTTTATTTCAGTAAATACTCCATAAATCTCCTAGGCAAACCATCTCCATTTCCTGGATCTTAATTGACACTTAGCTCTTCTGCGAAGCCGCGTTTGCGGGTGTAGACCATCTGAGAGCACAGGCCTTCCATTCAAGGAATGTCTTCTGTGCCCACTCTAATCTATCTTCAACAAAGCAACAAATTCCTATTTAAAACTATTTAGCTAAATACTCCAGAGATCAAATATAATTTCCTTTAGTTGCTCTCACACTGTCACAATTCTAATTATGACACTGCTGGGAATACTCGCTTTCTTAAAAAATGTAAAATGCAACATAAAAATTTATGAAGCGAATTATTGCAGGTATTACTATTCAAGGGTGCAGTGGTCTCTCTGTAACTCAGTTTCCTCAACCAGCGCCCTTTTACACTTCATTTTATGGTCAATGTGACGCCTCACCGAAGAAAGAATATTAAAAATAATTTATTAAGATTAAATTGCTTCTTCAGAAGGCATGATTTTATCTTTCTCATTTTATAAGAATTCTATTTTAATTCGCTTCCTATGCCATCCCTAGCATGAACTTAAGGATTTAATGGAGTAAGGATTGAAGGCTGATATTGATAAAATGATTAATTTTATATTTGAAGGATTGGTTTGTTTGATTTAGGAGAGAATTTCAATGGTCAATTATCCCTGGACTCTATCTAGTACAAAGGGCGGCCAAATAGTCATTCTCATTCATTACTCACCAAAGTGAATTGGCAAAGGCATCTTTGTGATTACTCTTGATATATTTAAGGTTAATATTGGATAGAAATACTGTTGCCCCTTCCACAAAGAGAGAACAGATGCTTTTCCTAAAAAGGCTAATTTTTAAAAATATTAATACCTTAAAACATAGCTCTCCGAATACACTTAACAATGTTGACCACATATTCAGTCAACTCTACTTATTAAGTATGCCATGGCTTATCTGTCATCTTCTGAGGACAGTCAGTGTACTCAGTAATTGACTTGTTTTATTCGAGGTCTTTTGTGCATCCAAGTGGCTACATTCAAACACACATCAAAATTAGAACGGGTTTTAGTGCTTTAAATCAAATTCAGTGAGATTTTATTTCAGGCTTTAATAAAAGTGATTAACAAAATTATCAGAAACAAAGTTGACCAAAATGATGGTAGAGTGACTATTGTGGGCACACAAAGTCATAAGCTTTTTTTTATTTTTTTGGCTTGACGTATGCTAAAAGCATGTGAATAATTTGAGGCCATTTCTAAAGTGACCCAGAATCAGAGACAGTGAGGGAACCTAATCTAAAGGGATTTCAACAGATAGCCCCTGAATCCCAGAGAACAAATAATGTGTCTAAGTGTATGTAGAAAATGAGCGATAAAACTGGCCTGGAACTCAGATAAAGAACAACTCCAGAATTCCATGCTATTCTGTTAATTTAGATGGAGTGTTACCACAGGGAAAAATAGTTGAATAGAAACGTAAATTAGTTGTGCCCATTAATAGGAATTATTTAATATGCATTCATGATTCGACAGATATATGGAGAGCAGCAGAGTGACCAGGAGAGACAGAGAGAGAGAGAATCTTCTATGTACCAGGCAATGAGTCCTTACCTTTAAGAAACTTGCGATCTATTGGGAGATAAATCAAGAATATATGAATTATAATGCAGTGCCCTAAGTGCTCTGACAGGGAAATTTAATGTGATACAAAAGCACATGGACTGATATCTTACCAGACAGGGTGACCACCTGTCACCCTAGATCTTAAGAGGAGCTGATATAGCAGCTAAAACTTAAAGGATGAGTTGGAATTAACCAGTAAGGGAAAAAGGAGGAAGGAGTGTTTCACAAAACTACAAAAGTCTGCAAGAAACCAGGAATAATGTATCTTTGATAAAGTATGCTATTATGGGGGAATCAGAGTGTGGGCAAGAAAGGCAAGAGATGAGATCAGAGAAGAAAGAAAGCATTAGGTTACGAAGGGACTAGTAAACCATGTTCAATAGCTTAGATATTATTCTGAAAGTAATGCGGAACCATTCAAAGGTTAGAATAGAGCAGGACATTACCATATTTGATTTTCCAAAGAATTTTCTTTTTGGAATGTGAAGAGTAGATTGGAGGGGACTAGAGGTGAAAGGCAAGCCTTGCAAGACACAGAAATGAGCTTGAAGTCTGATAAAGACATATAGGCAAGATATTGATGGTGGTCTAGAAAGATCTTGTCACTCTGGATATGCAAAAAGGATTTGAAAATACATAGGAAATAGAGTGGACGGAACTTAATGATGTACGTGGTAAGGTGTTAAGGATGAAGTCCAAGTTTCTTGACTGTGCAAATGGAATGACTGGACCATCCACTGAGATTGACATGGCTGGAGAAAGAACTACTTTCTGGGACAACAGACGTGCTCAGTAATTGACATGTTTTGTTTGAGGTCCTTTGGGCATCCAGGTAGCTACATATCCAGTGGGCAGCTGGAGGTACACATATGGAACTCATTAGAGAGATCTGGGCAGGAAATGATGATTCAGAAATGACCAGCCTGTAGATAGTAATAAAAGCAAAGCCAGTGGTCAAGAACAACCAGAGAGAGTCTGCAGATTGGAATGAGAAGATGGCTAATTGCAGATCCTTCAGGAACAACGCGTGAGGCAGACAGCTTCAGTTATTTGGGAAAATCACTTATAAAAAAATGGAATTCCTTACAGTATATATTCTCTACAGATCAAATCTAGAAGTAAATATTTTAGTTCAATTTGTACATTGGTCTCATTAGTGATGGTTAGTCTTGAAAAGTCTCTTTTTGGAGCCAGCGGGTTTAAAAATAACACAGAATGCTAGGCTTTAATTTGACTACTGGATTTAATACATGTGACAACTTGTAGAAGTTAGATAGCCTTCCTGAGGCTCAATTTCCTCTTCTATAAAAGAGAAAAATAACCACCAACTCAGAGAATGGCTGTGAAGATTACGTTTTGTTGCAATTGGCAGAGTTGGAATCACTCCACATAATACCTGGAACATAACAGAAGTTCACTAAATATTAGTTCCCATTCTTTCCATTAGTTTATCCAGATGGGCCAAATGAATTAGTAAAACATATATACTGTGCAGAGCAACAAAAACTTTTATTTAACTATCTTATATGTTCATAGAAATAATTTTTAAAATTAGATTCAGTCTCAGTTCTTGAATAGTTTCCCCATATTTTAAGAATATTTGCTTTTTACTCCAGCTCCGAAAGAGAAAGTGGCTATTTATATTCAGGGTCGACTTGGTTTCATGAGCCATAATAGAGTCAATTTTTGCAGTTCATTGACTTGGCCATTGGGTAAGCCAAATCACCCATTAAAATACCATGGTCTAGTTATTTAAATTGCACAGATATAGCTCAACTAAAAAAAGTGAAATAAAATTGTATTCTGGATTATGTAATTGGATTTGGCATTTTACATTTTGATTATTTTGCTACAGGTTTGAGATTGGTATTACCGACCAGTGAACATATCTGCTATTCAATTTAAAATGCTGAAAATGAAAACATGTTGTTTTGCGTGGTCCAGCATATGCACAGTAAATTCAGGATAATAATTACAAGGCTTTAAAAGTAGGCATAACTCAGGTTAAAGGTCCACTGCTTCTCAGTGACCCGAGTACTGGATTTAGGGAAGCCATTTCCACGAAAGATACTACATTGGTGATTCTCAAATCTTTCTGTTGATAGAGCAATTGGAAATTATGATGCTCTGCAGAACAGCATAAATTATAAAATGTTAGACTTAAAAATAGTTAAATACATTATTCCTATGTAATCAGAGACTATCTTATATTAGCGGGAGGTAATATACAAGTCGTTACGGTCACAAGTTCCAAAATCAGACTGCATTTTACATATGGGGAAACTGAGGCACAGACAAAAAAAGCTCCTTAGCCAAGGTCAAGCAATTATGAAATGGCAAAGCCAAAATTCAAGCCCAGGCAATATTAATAGCAACTCTGTTGAAAAGTGTTCGTAAGATTTGATAAGATATGTCATGGGAAGTGTTTAGCACAGTGCCTGGTTACTACTATCTATTGACTCTTTACTAATACAGACAAGACATTGTACATGCCAATATTAAAAAATAATAATAAAGGAGGAAAAACCACAAGCGAGGGAATTCCATTTCCTATATTAATTGTCCTCCTGAAGTTTTGGAAAAGTTTTCTTTCATTTAATGGCAGAATGGTATTGCTACTGTATTTTCGTATGTGGTTACTTGCATAGCAAATATACGCTATTTGATTGCAAGACTGAGTTCTAGAAGGAAACTGCCTGGAATCTAATCATAGCACTGACATTTAACAGCTGTGTGACTCTGACAAGTTACATACACTCTCTGGGCTTCAGTTGTAAAGTGAGGATAAATATAATCTAGAGAGGATTAAATGAATTAATATGTTAACATGTGTACAATAATGCCTGGGATTCATAAAGACTCAATTAATGCCATATATTGCTACTATTACTGTTTCCAGCGGAGTCCTCGTACAATGCAGAATCATTGTAAATTCAAAGATAAAGAGGAATAATTTCTGATACCGATATACAATACACATACATGTACATAAAAAATCAGAAACTACTTTTCTACTGTGAGTAATTCACATAATTAAAAAGTCAGGCTACTTCTATATTTTTCAAATTAGAATTTAAAAACATACACTAACTCACTCTTTTTCACACAGGCTATAATGATAAAGAAAAAAATTCTAAAAGGTGCAAATGACATAACAAAGAAAAAAAATGAAATTGCAAATACGTTCTAACCTGAAA